TAAATGGTCTACTGAGCAGTGTTTTGTCTTCCATCAGATGCCTCTGAGGAATCAAAAGAACTCGGTGAAGTGTTGGTACCAAACACAGGACAACAAGAGGATTGGGAACAGGTGGAAACACAGTTCAGACTAATCAGATGTAATGACACAGAGGAAAAGCAAAACTCAAAACACTGAACACAGGACACGAGACTTTCAAAGGATAACAGGAAGCGGGAGACAGGCATAGAGACGCAAAGTTGATAAGGGGACATGGCTGACAGGGGAGACAGAGAGAACATGAAGCACAGAGGCAAGTAAGTAGTAAGTAACCCAAGTTAACCAAATGCCTGTCTAAGTCAGAGAGTCAGTGGTGCATAGTGGGGGGAAGGGGGCGGGGAATAAACTGTTCCACAGTGTACGAGCTGGGGTTTGAAAACCACGATCCCCCTTTGTTTTCAAACGGGTCTGTGGAATAGTTAGAAGACCACTATTAATGGATTTAAGGATCCGGTATAGAGAGTAAGGTTGAAGAATCACAACGATATAAGTGGGGGCCTCACCTTGTAAGGGCTTAAATGTAAAAGTAAAAATTTTAAACTTATATCTGTACCCAACCGGAAGCCAGTGCAAGGATTTTAACACAGGAGAGATTTGGGAGAATTTATGACTGCAGGTTAAAGCCTTGATGCGGCATTTTGGACTGCTTGAAGATGATTTGAGGAAGCCTTAGACATACAGGTTTTACGGCAAACTTGCCTAAAGCTGTGGATAGCTTCTGTAAACCAGGGCAGGATTTTACAGTGTTGGCTTTCACACCTGGGCTCCTGTGATTAGGTAAAGTATCATTAGGGGGCCCTTTTGCCCCTCTCGGTGGGACACCCCCACAGGGCTTTAATCTGGGACTCTGCACTATTTGACCCTAGAACTGAAGAAGCTTCTCATATGAGAGGTGAAACACCTTCAAACAACTTAAAGAAGTCCAGACGCTTTTCTTTCCAAGCTCTTTAGACAGTTTTGGCTTTCCTGATTTTAAGACGAGCCACTTTATCTAGAATTTTTAGACATTGCAAAATGGTTGCCCACTGCTTTACTGAGTGAATGGGTTAAATGCAGAGAATCACTTAGTGAGCCATGTAATGTCCATGTTAATCCATGGGGATTAACAGCCAACCCAACTCCATCTCCTGAAAGATGCAGTGTGGTTAGACAATGACGGTCTGCCTGGCACAGTTCATTAAAATGAAAAAAAAAAAAAGAAACTACATATTCCACTTAGTTTTGGTTAGGAACTTAAAATCCAAGTTATTCCTAATCAAAAGATCATTGAGGGCAAATGCCTTATTTGAGATCAAACGGCAGTTTAATAGGGTCATCTTAATCGGCGAGGCTGAAGCATCTCTGGTTAAATCCTGAGGGACTTGGCACACATTCGCCCTGCACACTCCCCGAGACTTCTTACCTTTAATCATAAGCCATGGGACAATGAGATGGTCACTCACATGTTCTAGGAAAGCTCGGCGACCTGATGAAAACCATGCGGGGAAGGCATGCACTCAACTCGAAGCCCGTTTTAGCTAAATCCAACATCCAACGTCGGCAGCCCCGAGCAGGACGCAAAATCAAGGATATTCCTGTATTTCCGTATTCTCACTTGGTTGCCCGCACGTCTTCCTCGCTTTCTCAGACGATTTTTTGTCGGGAAACGACAGCTCCGGTTTCTACCTGACACAAGCAAGCATAGGAAGTTATGAGCAACAGCTGACCGCCCAAATGTGGAGGAAAGCCTCCAAAGTGTCCAATGATTTGTCTTTGAGCTCATAAACACAATGCGGTGATCAGTATAAGCACGTTGAAAAGATGGTTCAGGAAGAGGAAAAATCAGGAGAAAAGACACAGGCTTGTAAAATTTGGGTGGATTTGTAGAAAAT